AGCTAATGTAGATCTTGAAGGAAAGAAGTTGTTTGATTGAAGCCACACCATTACGCTGAATTCAATATATCTGACGGAACCACTAAGATGTACGAAGAACTTGAGGAGACACTTTTGCGGTGGAGTTGGGTATTGCTATGGCTAGGCGGAAAATTGCCAGATGAAAATAATAAAGAAAATTGATTGATATTCCTTTCCTTAAATTCCGATTACAACTTGATTTACAGAGGAGAAGAGAACGAATTTGATTTCTCTTCCTTTGTTTAAAAACTGGGCGTTCTTCTCGGTTCTAGCGATGGAATGCCGTCCTTCGATTGTTTGCGGTCGAATTTGCTTCGTCCGCTTGACGATCGCGACCGTCTCTTATTCGTAGGGGCGGAACGATAAACTTCTGTGGAAAAGTTGTGACGATTTAACTCTGATGAGTTTAGAACTCTGGACGAGTTAGAACTCTCTGGCAATAGCAGTTTGTTAGAACCCGAAAATTCGTAATGATCAGACGCTGTTATTTCTGGTGTGGAGAATCCTCTCAGATTTTTGATACTTCTGAGCTTGCATTCAAAAATCCTATCTCAAGATTTCGCTGCGGGGGTGCTGGTGTTTGCCTGAATCACCAAACCCGGCGGTGTTTTGATCCTCCTCAATCCAAAAAAAGCCAGCCCTGGTTTGATTCAACTGGGAAAAATCTCCAAACCTTGTGTGCGCGCCGGTTTGATTCTCCGAAATCCAAGCCCTCGCCTCCTGTGGTCGATTCTGAGCCAAGAAATCGACCCGTTATTCAGTTGAGTTTGTTGAGTTTTATAGGGGATAGGAGGTTGTAACTGACCCCTATATCCGCTCCTACATGGGCGGAAATCCCTCAGAACGTGGGATAAACGGTCTTGAAACCGTTCGACTCATGTTTGAACGAGTCAAACGCCCAATCTAGCGTTCAGAACCCAACTTCGCCTCTTAGAATTGAGACACGAGGTTAGGTGTTAGCTGAACATCATTGAACGCGAGGGCCGCTCGCGTTTTGACTTGTTGTAGCTTAAAAACGCGGGGGTCAGTGTTGGTTGGACCCCTACGAACGCGAGGGTGGCTTGGAAACGCGGGGGTCGCCTGCACTTCCCAAGTTGTAACGCGGTGGTGACTTGGAAACGCGGGGGTCGCCTGCATTTCCATAATTATAACACGGGGATGACATCCGCGTTTCAGAAGGAGCTTTTTGACTTGTAACTTCTTCCGTGAAGCGTTGCGGGGACCGTTGTTCAGTAATCCTGGCTTTAGCTGTTGTAGGGTATGAAAGTCATCAGATTGTAACTTTCACCGTAGATTATGAAGACTGCTGAATAGAGTTTTCATCCGTTGTCGGAAGTATCGTTGAATTGTAACTCTTCTCGATCTATGTGAAAAGTCCTCGACTTGCAACCTTCGATTGTCGGCGTGAAAGCTATTTGATTGTAGCTTTCGTTGTAGGAGCTTGACGGGAATCAACATCCATAGTGTTTTGAAGATGAATATTTGCCCACAGCTCTCTACCAAGCAACTCGCCAACTAAGTCCAACCTTTTATTTCTAAAATCATTACACTGCTCATCAGCATCTCTAATAGTTGCTAATATAATATTAGTCATGTTGTTATCGCAGCCATCAAGATCCATCATCTCGTGTTTGTGGCGATTGTGGAGTTGCAGATGCAGTGATTAGAAAGTCGTCTGATTGTGACTTCCATTGTCGGAGCTTGATATGGATCAGCTATCCATTGTGATTTTTAGACAGCCTACAGAACCCCCTCCAAAGTTTTCGAAAGTTCACGGTTGACTGGGACGAATTTTCAGAATACTTTGGATCCCAAAATTTTGTGGATTGATTGCTCATCCCGTCTGATCGAACCAGATGATTTCAATGTTGTTGATTGTAATCTATCTGTACTCCTCCAATAGACTCCTCGGTGGAGTCGTTTGTTTCTTCCCGGCTTTGGTCGCCTTAACGATTGCTGTTAGCTCTTCTTTTATTCATCTGGGGCTGTGTCGTAGCCTTGGTAGTCAAGAAGCTGCTATCATAGCGATCCAAACACAGAGATAATTTTTGCCTTTGAGGATTGGAACGCGTGGGTGAGCCCAGCGTTGGGAAATTTGAACGCGAAGGTGAGCATCGCGTTTGGAAGCTCAACCAACTCGAACGCGAGGGTCTAGTTTGGGCGGGATTCTGGCCTCGAATCCCGTCCGTTATGATTTGACAGCTCACAGCTGTCTATAAATAGACCGCTGGAGGTCAAATCAAGAGTCATCCGACTCTTCTTGAAATTTTAACGAAAAATCTTCGTTCTCTCCGGCGAAAACTGTTCATCCGAACACTGCTCATCTCCTCCGACGAGATTCTATGGCGCCCAAGAAACCAGTTGCTTCCAAATCTGATGCCGCTGCGGCTCGAGGATCTGCACCGTCAGCGCCGGCCGGTGGCGCTGCTGCTCAGGCGAACATGCCGCCCCAGCTTCCTTTGATTGGCGGTGAGTACGACCTTCGTGGTCGTTAAACTTGCTTCGGTGAGTTCTGATCTTGAGATCAACGAGGAAACTCGTTTCAATAACGTGGGGCTGGACTCCGTCGTTTGGTATTTTTGACGAGGGGTTTAATCCCCACGTCTCAGATTCTTGACGTGAGGGTCGACCTGCGCGTCTGAGATTTTTGACGTGGGGTTCGACCTGCGCGTCTGAGATTTTTGACGCTAGGTTCGACCTTCGCGTCCAAGCTTATCTGACGCGGGGTTCGACCTTCGCGTTCGAGCTTATCTGACGCGGGGTTCGACCTTCGCGTTCGAGCTTATCTGACGCGGGGCTCGACCTTCGCGTCTGATCTTGTTTGACGCGGGAGTCGACCTTCGCGTCTGAGCTTTGATTTGGAGTAGTCTAACTTTTTTCGTCCTTTTGCAGTGCGCCATACCAGTGAACCTCTTCTTTTTCGCCACCATTTTGGGCATGAAGGTGGTGCGGACATGAACATGGCCTTCAGCTCACGCCAAGAACTCCCGGTTTTCTGAATTAGGGAGAAGAGTCGCGTAGAATTAATTACCCAAGCTTCTTCCGACACTCTTAGGACATTGGTTACGGACGCCTGACTTGAAAGCTCAAGCCGTAAGCCAATAGTCAAACCTGGATACCTCTTCGGGGACTTCGTTGACTTCGAAGCAAGCACCGCTTACGATGGGGACTATAAGTGGCTGCGGAAAGTTGGGGACCGCAACATTTTCTTGCCTAATATGGAGAGGATGTTCTCCATATCTTATTTCCAGTGTGCTTCTGTTCCAAGGCGTATGGATTGGCCCCTGGTTAAGGATCAGGATGGGGTTACCCTCGGAACTCTGACTTTTCACGGGGTCCACACAGTTGGTTATAACCGACAGGTGACTGCTTTACGGCCGGGTCTATTTGCTAAGGAATATCCCCTCGGCGAAGTAGCCAGCCCGGCGAATACCTTTGTCAAGAGGTTTCTGACAAAGAAAGGAGAATTCCCCGCACAAGGATTTAGAGCTCCTGGTTGGGTTCATTCTCCAGTGACGGGATGGTGGACCCAAATGACCAAGTTTGTCTTGAAAGAGTTGGAAGTCCCTCTTGCTCGCGCAGGATTGCAGGTTCCTGTACGGGCTACTCAGTTCGGGATTATCCAAAGCCACTTTCACTTCTTTTCCATACTGGAGAAGTATAATCCCGAGACTTGCACTTTCTTCACTCCTGTGGGGGAGTTAGGCTTCGCTCTTCACGAGATGCACGAAGTCTCGGGTCTTATTCTTGGAGACTTGCCGTATGAAGAATTTGTTCCGGGATCAGCGGAACTTAAAATTTTGAAGAAGACCAGCCCAGAAATTTATGCCACTCTCTGGGAAGTCATGTGTCACTTCCATATCTGCATGCAGCTGACGGGGGCCCGAGGAAGCGGCATTAAACAAGTGTCCTGGGCGGAATATTTATTCCAAAATTTGACCATTAAGGGAGGCTCTGTATCCCGATTGCCTGTCAGTACTTTGGAGGAAGTTCAGGCTCGAATTGACGACGCTACCTCCCACTACACCAATGAGGCCAAGGAAGATGTTTTCCCGGCTCATACAGAGTTTGAAAGCTTCCATTATCAAGCTCTGATTCCAATTTCTGACACGGCGTTGCTGGCTGGATTCTTGATGCTGTGGCTCAAGCGTTGCGTCGTTCCTACCAGGCCGGTCGATGCCCTTGCTATTGAGGTGGTCTACCCGACTGTTCTCTTGGCACATGGGAGACCTGTGAGCCTCCTCAGTGCCATGATGGGTTGCTTACAGTATGGACTGCGGGAGTTGGCCTCTGACTTCGTTGGTGTTACAGAGGTGGAGTCTGAGGGTCACAAGACTTTCAAAACTCCCAATCCCAGGGTACCAATGCCATATGCCTATTTGATGGCTTGGTACGTGCTTCACTGTCCTTCTTTGATGAGTGCAGCCTCTCCCCCGGGAGACTCATTCATCCCATTTGTGCAGCGACTAGAGTCTGCGAAGTGGGAAGGGGGGTACATGGTTAGAATTCGCTAAATCCTTGCGCGAGACACCAACTTCCATATCTACCGTTGTTTCCCTGATTTTGAGGGTGGCATCTATGGAGCAGAATATCAGGATACGGCAGGTCCTAATGGATTCACTCAGCTGAGCGGGGGTGTTTTCCATTGGCTTCTCTCCATCAGGCCAGGCTACTTGATTTTCCGACAGGGCGTCCACTGTTTCATCGAGCCTTACCAACCCTATAGGTTCGCTCGCCAATTTGGGTATGATCAGTTGTATGTCGGGAACCCTCGTCCTCAACTCTCAGTTATAGCCAACTTATATGAAGGATCCAGGGCCTGGTATTATTCTGTAGCAGGTTGTACCAAAGCCATCTTCAAGCTTCCCCACAAAACTGCCAACTCCTATACCTCCATCAGCTTCTGTAATTGGTATTACGCCGCTTCTCAGACTCCCAACTACAACTTGAATACATCTTGCCTGAAAGACATTAGGCATATGTATAATTTAAGGAAGGGGTCCAAGACATCCTGCTTGAGGGGGATCGATGAGTTTCTGTCCATTGAGAATCAATCTGCTGGACAGGAAGAGGAACAGACAGCTGAGCCTGCTCCAGGGGAAGAGCAACGAGTGGTTGATCCTCCCGTGATAAGAGCAGCGGGAAAAAGAAAACTCTCTGCAGATGAAGCCGGCCAGTATGATAAGCAGATCCGTCAGAAACTGCTGGTGGATTCTCCCCCAAAAGGCCAACAAAAATCCAAGTTGATGGCTGAGGCCATCAAAGCTGCTATAGATGAAGAACAACAAGAATCGTCTGTTGCAGGCCTGCCACATAGAGCTGGACTTCGTTCTCATGGCCCAGCTTTATCGAGCGAAGCTTCTTCTTACCATCCTCCTGAGGGCGAAGAGGATGAATTAATGGCTGCAGATGCAGAGTCTGCTCCGATGATGGACCTTCCCAAGTCTCCTGCCTTAGAACCAGGGGGTCTTGAAGAGAATCCATCTCCTTCTCCTTCAGCATTAATGTCACAAGCTGGTGATTTAATTCCTAGTCCTACAACGGGACCTATGAAAAGACCAGCTCCTGGTGCATATCTTCCTGAGCCCTCAGCTGCCCGGGATGATGAGGAGCGAGTTGATTATGAGGACTCCTCGATTGGCGGTGCAGCTGACGAAGACAGAGATGATGGGTGGTGGTGAAGATGATGAAGAGCATGATTCCATAGATGACATTACCACTTTTGACGATGCTCCCAAGGTCCCATCCGATAAAGTATCTGGTTATACTCCTTTTCACATCTCCGGTAAGCCTAGTTTTCTTCGAATTCTTCCGCATGTTTTGTCCGCGTTCCGACCCTTTTTTCGTGTAGGTTCACCTTCTCCAGGGACTACTGCTACTACTACTTCAGAGCCAGAACCTGCGCAGATGTTGGCTCCTTTAGTAGAGCAACATTTACCTGGCTCTCCTACGACAACGGTTTCACCTGCAGCGTTGCCTGAAACTACTGCCGCAACTCCTCCTCCCGAACAGCAACTTGTGCAGGTGTCAGCTCTTATGCAGGAGCAGGCCTTACCTGCCTCATCCACCGTAGCTGCTTCATCTACAGCATTGATGAAGATCTCACTTGCGCCCACGGAGGCTGGACCAAGCGCGTCTCCAGCTAGAGCAATGATGGCTTTGACTTCAAGCCCTTCGCAATTGAATGTTTCAGTTGCCTCCGCGACTTCTACACCCAAATCACTTGCCAATCCATATTTCGGCGCGTCCACTTCTGGGGTCGTCGAGTCGTCCTCCATTGCTTTTTCCAGTCCAGCAGACGCTCCTGACTTCCTCCATATTTCCTTGAGCTACTTGAACAGTCTCGTGAGGAAGGTAATTGAGGTTGTCACAGCTGGTCGAGGCCGCTTTGATTCTCTTAAGTATCTCCTAGAAGCGGGCTTAAATGGGGTCAAGAGTGTGGGTAATGCCCATTGCTTTGAACGTTGTTCGGAAGCTATTTCCCACTTGGAAGCCCAGCTCAAACATTTGGAAGCCCTCAGCCACGAAGACATTCAGACACAGATCGTGTCTACTTTTGCTGACTTCCAGGTTGAGGAAGTGACCCGCCGTGAGGCAATTGAGCGAGGCCTGGATGAAAAAGAGCTTCAAGTTACGTAGTTGCGGGAACAGAGCGATCTGAGACAAAAAGAACTGGAGCTCTCAACTGCTTCTTTGGACCTCATTCGCACGAAACTGGTCGAAGCTGAGGCGGAGGTGCTGAGATTGAAAGCCCAGCTTTCTCGTGAAGAAGCCGTCGTTAATATACTTGGGGCCAAAAATACGAACACTCTTTTGAATTACCATACGGAAGCTCAGGCTCTTGAAAGAGCGAAGAAGGAGGCAGTCGCTGAAGTAGCACCCACCGAGGATGATATGCGGAAGAAGGCTGAAGCCGTTGTGCGAGCCAGTCATGAAGAAAAGCTTGCTGATGCTAAAGCTCAACTTGCCTCTTTTGACTTGACTTTGTACTATTCTTTTGCTTAAGAACATCTTTGTATCACTTCTTTTTGGTTTCTGAATAAAAAGTGATATTGGTTTCTCATTGTTTCTTGCATTTATCATGTTTTGATTTTAGATACAAGTCACAAGAAATGCCTGAGATGTATTCCTGACTTAGAATAGATCTCCACAATGGTTCTGGTGCAGAAAACTCTCTTTATTATCATTTAAGATAACTCTAGAAAGTTTTAAACTGCTGAGGATGAATATTCTCATAATGGGGTTGACTAGTAGAATTCTTCCTGTGTTATTTCTTGCTTTGAACACTGAAAGAAATCTATAAGTGCCAGAGGTATAGTTTCCACTTGGCAGGGGGATTATTACGGTCTGGGCAATTTTGAAGACTTATCGTTCTATTGACGAGAATCGATAAGTTGATTTTGTCAGAGGTGTAACTTTAACGTAACAACTGAAATATTACGATCAGGGCAATTTTGAGGACTTATCGCTCTATTAACGAGAATCGATAAGTTGATTTTATCAGAGGTGTAATTTTAACGTGACAACTAAAATATTGTGATCAGGGCAATTTTGAGGACTTATCGCTCTATTGACGAGAATCGATAAGTTAATTTTGTCAGAGGTGTAATTTTAACGTGACAACTGTGGGGAAAGATTATTATAGCATCTCACTGGGGAGAACTGCTAAGAGTTTTATCATCGGGACGATGAATTGTGATACTTGTGATTTGAACAAGATTTTAAGGGATTTTGTTATCCCACTGAAAACAGGTTATTTATTGCTCTGCTGAGGAGAGCTAATAAATTGACAATGAGTTGGAGACTTATCATTCTATTAATGAGATTTGATAAGTGGATTCTGGGGTGTAGTATTAACCCAATGAGAATTTAGATTCTGCTGAAGAGATACAGAGGTTTTGACTAACACTCTATTGAGAGGGCTCATGACTTTGAGGAAAAAGTGTCATGTTTGAAGACACAAGTGTAAATTCTTTATTTAGAAGAATTGCAACGCTGAGGTGACCTTCGCGTTTGATGTTTGAAACGCGAGGTTCGGGCCTTCGTGACGCTAGCCTGAGCTTTGCACTTGGGAAATTTGAACGCGGCTATGAACTTCGCGTTTTGGAGATGGTTGGGATTCACTCCTAGAATCCCGTGCCATCTTAACAGCTTGACGGCTGTTATAAATAGACCTGATCGATGGTCACGTCAAAAGTCAATTGACTTTTAAGACTTTCGGCTCTTTCCAAGAACGAGAACTCTCGTTTGATTACGGCAAGATCTCCGACGAGCTTCGTCTCCCTCATTCAAAGGAATTACCTCCGACCTACTGCATCGATGGCGCCTCGGAGAATGGGTTCGAACTCCAAGAAAGTCGTTGAGGCGACTTCCGACATGCCGTCGGCTGAGAACGCCGGCGGTGTTCTTGTTCGTGCGGGAACTTTACCGTCGACATCGCCGCCGTAGGGGCCTCCCTGTCGTGGTGAGTGCTGACCGAAATAACTTGCCTTGGCAAGTTCTCTGAAAACCCTAGATGGGTTCTTGATAACGAGGAAGATGACTCGTTTTAACTCAATGAAAACGCGAGGTTGGGGTCCCATGTGGGTCTCGACCCTCACGTTCAAGTTTTTCAACACGAGGTTGACTCTCGCGTTTGAGGCTTCGGACGCGAGATTCGACCTTCACGTTGGAGATTTCTGACGCGAGGTTTGACCTTCGCGTTGGGGACGAGACTTTAACCTTTTGTGTTTCAGACTATGTCTTTATGTCGATAGCTCGCTTCTAGCTGCTAACTTCTGCTTTTGATTGTGACGCCGGCAGTGTTCTTGTCCATGCGGGAACCTTGCCGTCGACATCACCGCCGCAGAGACCTCCCTGTCGTGGTGAGTGCTGACCGAAATAACTTACCTTGGTAAGTTCTTTGAAAACCCTAGATGGGTTCTTGATAACGAGGAAGATGACTCGTTTTAGCTCAAATGAAAACGCGGGGTTGGGATACCCTATGGGTCTCGACCCTCGCGTTCAACTTGTTCAACACAAGGTTCGACCCTCGTGTTGGAGACTTCTGACGCGAGGCTCGACCTTCGCGTTGGAGATTTTGACACAAGGCTTTACCCCTTTGTGTTTCAGACTCTGTCTTTATGTCGATAGCTTGCTTCTAGCTGCTAACTTCTGCTTTCGATTGTGCAGTGCTTTTCCCAAACGTGCCGCTTTCACAAGAGCTCCATTTCGGATATATTGGTGGACCTGACCCGAATGAATTATTTAGTCTTCAGAACAGGATTCCATTGTGTACTTTTCCTAATTCGGAAAGAGCGGAAATGATCAAATTCCCTCAATGCTCTACTCTCAGGATTTTGATAACTGACTTAGACTTGGAGACCCCTGTTGGTCATGCCCAGTTTCCTAAACCAGCATTCATATTTGGGGATCGCATACCAATCGATGACCATCTCACACACGTGGAAGATTCAAAGTTGCTGCGGAGAGCTGATAATCGCTTCTTATTCCTCCCAAACATGAAGAGGATGTACCCGCTCTCCTATTTCTTGAATGTGAGTTGCCGTCGGGGTTTGACCTTCGACATTGTGAGGGAGAAAGAGAACGTGTCGCTTGGATTTGGTCGGCGAGCTCGTACACAAATCGGAGGACAACTCAAGGGGTTAAGACCTGGTTTGTTTGAGAAGAAGGAGCTGGTTCCGGAGATGCCACGCCCAGCGAACATTTTTATCCGCCAATTCCTTGCAATTCAGGGTGAATTCTCTACCCAGACGTTCAGATCCCCTGGATGGGTCTGCTCTGGAGAAGGAGGTTGGTGGACCCGCATGGTTGACTTCGTTCTTGAGGAGCTTAAGGACTCGCTCGCTCAATCGGGTCTCACAGTTCCCGTGTTAGCTACACGACAGGGAGTCGTGCAGAGTTTTCACAATTTCTTCGCCATGTTGGAGAAATACAACCCAGACAGCTGCACATTCTTCACACCTGCAGGAGAGTTAGGTTTTGCTCTTCATGAGATGCAGGCAGTATCGGGGTTGTCGCTCGGAAAAACACCCTATGAGGAGTTTGTCCCCACCACCGAGGAGCTTTCTTTACTAAAGGTGGCGCACCCGGAAATTTATGCTACTTTCTGGGAATTGATGTTCCACTTCCACATATGTGCCCAAGTCTTTGGGATGCGTGGAGGGGGCATTATGCATACCACATGGGCAGACTACCTCTTTCAAAACTTAAACAGGAAAGATGTAGCCGTATCCCGTGTCGCAGTTGTTTCTCTTAAGGACGCCAAGGCTCGGATTCAAGCTCCTGGTGCTACTTACAAGACAGAGCATGCAGAGGGTGACTTTGAAGCTGGTGTCGAATTTGAAAGTTTCCACTACCAAGCCACAGTCCCTATTTCTGACACCGCTCTACTTGCAGGCTTCTTCATGATTTGGTTGAAGCGGTGTGTGGTACCGTCAAGACCAATAGAGGCGATATTAGCTGAGGTTGTGTACCCCGCTGTTTTATTAGCACACGGGAAGTCTGTGAGCCTCCTTACTGCTGTGGTTGGCTGTATTCAGAACGGCCTGAGGGTGTTGACTTCAGAACTTCTCAGCGCTTCGAGGGTCAAATCTACTAAGAAGAAAGCTAGGAAAGCTCCTCAACCACGTGTTCCAGTGCCGTATACATATCTAATGGCCTGGTTCGTGTTGCATTGCCCTTCATTGATGACGGGAACACATGAGGGCGATGATGCTTATATTCCCTTTGTACAGAGGCTGGAGTCGGCCACGTGGACTAATTCTTATATAGTCAGGGCTCGACAACTTCTATCCCGGAAGGACAATTACCGGATTTTTTGTTGCGCTCCGAATTTTGACGGAGCTGACGTGCAGGATGCCTGCTTCATGGACTTGCTTTTTGAGGGCTCGCCTTCTCTGGAAGAGGGCATATTTAGCTGGCTTCTTATGATCAGGTTGGGCTACCTGGTCTACCGCTTGCGGGAGAAGTGCATAATCGAGCCTTACATGCCTTCTCGGTTCGCCAGACAGTTTGGATATGACCAACTCTATGTTGGCAATCCTAACCCGGCGTTAGCTCAGATTGGGAATTTGTACGAAGGAGCCCGTGCATGGCACTTCTTCTCCGCCGGGGGAACTCATGCGCAATTCACCTTACCCAACTCACCGCCTGGCTGCTCTACTGTTATGGATTTCCGCCAGTGGTTTGCTGAAGTTTCTCAGATCTCGGAATATGATGTTTATACTTCATGTATAAACGAGATTCGGGAATTGTATCGTTCGAGGAGCGGTTCTACGAGTACTCGTCTGCCAGGGATGGAAGAGTACCTATCTTGTGAACAGGAAGCGATTGGAGCCGTTGAAGCTCCTCAGGACTTGTCCACCATAGAACCTTCTGAGGAAGAGGTTCCTACGGGGATCGAAAAGGGAAGGCCAATTGATGATTCTCCCGAAGAAAAGACAACTGAGGAGATTCCTGCAGAAGAGCCTGTTCCTAAACCTTGTTCTTTAAGATCGGGTAAGAAGGCTCTTTCTGCTGCTGAACAAGGCGAATACGACAGGAGAATTCGTAAGCGAATACCTGTCGTGGCCAGAAATTCCAAAAAGGCCAAGTTAATGGGAGATGCGATGAAATCTGTGCCTGTTGGGAGTTTCGCTGATCGAGAGGACCCATCTTGACCCAGTGTTTGGATGATATCAAGGCTAAAGGGGATGCATCATGGACTGAGCACTGTCAGGGGGGAATCGCTTTCTTGAAGGCAGAATTAGCAACGTTCAGGGAGCTGCAGCGCACCAATTTAGATGCTGAAGTGGAGTCGGCTCTTTCCTTAGCGATAATCTCTAGAGCACATCACCCAGGGACCCTTCGCAAGGACTTGTCTGACAAAAAGGCCCGCATATCAGCTTTAAGGAAGCGGCACTCTGCAACATATGCTAAAATCAAAGGGGTTGCTTCTGATATCCGCGGTATTGAAGAGACTATCGCTCGATTAGAGGCCGAGTTGGACCAGAAGAAAGCCCAATTGGCCCACTATGAAGAGGTCAGAAAAGAGCTTGAGCATCAAAGTAGCCAATTTTATACAGACGTTTGCCGTACACTCCATGCGGCTGAGCGGATTCGCAAAGACATTGTTGCTGCCGCTCCTATTGAA